TCCGGTAGGAGTCATGGCATTGGTCATTCGAGGGAATGTGAGACCGAGGACACCAGCTGTTGACATGTTAGTGGCGGTCAATTGATGAGGTTTTGGAGACTTACCAAAGGTGTTGTTGATGCAGACAGCCCAGGCCATACCCTGCTCACGCTGGATGGTTGGGAATACTTCGGCAGAGTATTGGAAAGCAACAGGACCTTCTCCGAGGGAGTAGGCGATGGTGAAGAGGTAAACGAAGCTGATAGGTTAGTGAATGCGTCCTGATCAAATTGGCTGAGAGACTTACAGAACGACAGGTCCAATCTGGGCACCACGGCTACCGCTGTGATTGAGGAGAGATAGACCGGCGGCCAACAAGAAGACACACATGAAGGGGAAAGTCTATATGAGATATTAATAAATGTGAGGGCAAATGATGGTTATTGACTTACGATAAGGCAGAGAGTTCGTCGTCCCTTGGTGTCAATGAGGAACAAAGTTGGAATAGTAGCAATGACCTGAATAGCACCGTATCCAAGAGAAGCATACAAGGCCTGGACAGCTGTGTAGCCAGCGTTTCGGAAGATAGTGGAGCTGTAAAACGAAATGACTGAAACTGTTAGTGATTGAACCATCACAGGGAGACAGTGACTTACTGTTGATACCGCACATCTGCTGCGCAATCATGACGGTGGAAGCACCATAATTCGCGCGCCTAATGCGAGGCACAGCAAAGCAATCCCACAAACGCTGGAAATATCCCGCACCCCTCGCAACAGTCAACTCCTCCTCATAAATAATCCACGAGTAGTAAAAGTCCCTCGCAGCAATGATATCATGCGCTCTCAGCCTCTGCATCGATCTAAACCCCTTAGCATGCTTCCCATGCTTCATCAACCAACGCGGCGACTCGGGGCAGAAAAAGATACCAACACCCAAAAGGAACGAGGGGATGAATGCAGAGCCGAGCTGCAGGCGCCAGGAGATGTTGCCGGTGTCTTTGACGATGACGTTGGCGCAGAAGCCGAGGAAGATGCCGACGACGACCCAGAGCTGCCAGAACATGACGAGGGCGCCGCGGACGCGGGCGGGCGCCATCTCGGCGGAGTAGATCGGGACAGTGGCGTTTTTGGCGCCGATGCCGATGCCCATTACGAAGCGCACGGCAAAGAGCTCTTGCCATGAGTGGGTGAAACCGGAGGCGATAGGGGTGGCGGTGAGACAGCAGGCCGTGATGAAGATTTCACCGCGACGACCGAAGTAGTGGTTCAGCGGATCAACGATGAAAGCGCCACTGTACTCGTTAGCAACTGCTCACTCAAACTGGTTGTAGTTGATAGACTTACATCAAACCAGCAGTCAAGAAGATAATCGAGTTAACAAGTCCAACAATCCACTGATCACGAACACTGTTCTCCTCATCAAGCCCGAATTCCTGGGGAAATGACAAGTTGGCACCGTTGGAACCAGTCTGATCCCAACCCTGAGTCGCAGCGCCAATAGCACACAGAGAGATAGAGTACCAGAGCATCTTTGGTCCGTGCCATTTATGATCGCGCTCGTACTCGAGGGCTTGGCGCTCATCTTCCTTGAGCTCTTTGACCATGTTGAATTGCTCCTGGTCGCGAGCGACGAGGGCGGCGCGGGAGAAGAGTTCTGCGTGTTCGGAGAGGCCGTGTGTTTCAGCAAAGACACGCGCATCGTGGGCTGCTTGTTCAGGTGTGACGCGCTACAATCATCAATGTCAGTAATTGAAGATAAATTGTATACACCAATTGAAGTGATAGGTGAGTATCATATCAATTGGGCTGGGGTCATCATCGCCGAGCTTCTTGGCGATTTGACTAAGAAAGCTCGGCGATGAGCCAAGAGATCGCCAAGCGTACCTTGAGTGGATTCTCAACGATGTTCACGGCAGTCGAACCACGACGACCTGTAGCACTGGGCGGCAGATCATGGCTATGGCCAAGACCATCCTTCTCATTGTGAGACGCCTGAGGGACGTCAGGGCCCAATTCCTTGTTATCCATTGTATTTTATGAGTCTTGATGCAAAGATGAGAAGAAAGTGTGAAGGACTGAAGAGCCAAGAAAAAAGAAAAGGCCAAGGGTAGATTAAATAACTTGGCAATTGAGATGCGGGTGAGACCTGGGGCGGATGAGTTTGGATAGGATCATCGCTCATCCCCGGTTCATCCCCATCCTCTGAGCTTGAGGAGCCGGTCTAAGCTTGGATGGAGGGAGGACGATGGTGGGCGGGCGTTTAAGCGTATCCACCACATGCACCTTGGGATATCTGACCACCAGAATTTGGAGATGGACTTGGGAATTGTGGAAACGTTAAGGTTATTGTCTCGGAATGGACCAGGGGTTCTTCTTTATTCTCTTTGTCTGGGGTTACACTGAATGCTCCGATGCTGAACACGGGAGTTGACAGGGTAACTTTCCATTCCAACGGATGATTCCATCCTTCACTGTATCCCTAAATTACCACTGACACCAACATTGAATCACAACTGTCAATGTCTGACAGTCTCTGGTATGAGAGCAGTATCAAACGACAACCGATCTCAACTCACCTCCTCTTTTCCCCATGGAGATCCCTCATAAAAATTGGAGAAGCTGTCTCCGCTACAACGAATCATCTGGACGTCTCCACGCGCTAGCAAAAAGCCGCTGAACACCTTGAAATTTGGGGTCTGGGGATTGCTTGCGGGTTAAAGGCGATACGTACCGATTTATTCGGCTGCCTAAACGTCATCGGATAAGCGGCACATATGACGTAGTGGAGACACTTGCCAAGGCATCCATATTCTTTCCCTTCCAAGTGGAGATATCCTCCAGGCATCCAAATAAAAATACAGTAGCGCTGCCCATAGCTCTCTCAATTTGCAGCCATTTTGAACATTCTATGGTCTGAGAATGACTTTAGTAAAATTGTTGAGATATATCCCTCAAGTCTAGAAGCTCGTTGTTGAAAAGTTTGATCTATTTGCCGTTGTAAAACTTGCTCTTGGTTATGTGCAGTGTAACATCACCGAGACATGCGCTAAACTGTAATGGTTGAATGTTCAGTGAGGATGAGGCCATCGACGCTCGTTTTTGCCGTTTTGAGAGATTGGTGCGACGGTGGTATAAGGGTGCCTAAACGGAACGATCGGACTTGTTTGAGTCTTGGCTTGTGCAAGTTCTTCGGGACCGATCTTGGTGAGAGCGTTGGTGAGATGGCGGGGTTTAGACTGATCCCATTGTTTGTTGGAGTGCGGAGATGGAATGAATAACGCCTGATGATCTTGACCAACATGAATCAATCGATTGGTGCTGAATAACGGGCGTTGATCATGTCTGTCATCTGACTCTCGGTGTTTGGTCACTTAATTGGACAACCACTCACTCCATCGTTGCTCCATGATCATCATCCCCAGGTTGTTGCTGATCTATGACCCCCAGATTATCAACACGATACCCTCAGACATTCGCGATCTTCACCAGGATAGCAATACCACATATACTACTGTGATACTCGATCTTGCATTGTTTCATGCCAAAAGATCAGGCAGCTGAGTTGTATCAGACCTTTTGCACCGTAACCTTAAACTTAAGCTTACGGGTATAAAGTGGCTGCTACCTCCAGCCGCACTCTTCTATGTGACAATCACCCAACGCTTTTGCAGTAACTTATTAGAGAAATAATTGAGGGAATCGTCAAAAAACGATGTCACCGGGAATACTGCAAGCTTTACGCCCGCCCTTTCATTGTTGCTTAAGCTGTCACGCATGCTTGGCAGAACCCCACTACGTCATAGCCTCGCAATTATTCCCGCTTACATCCTTGTGAGCAAAATCCAGATTTGAGATGAGGGGAACCTGGGGTAATCGCGTGAGCACTAGACTTTATTGAACTATGAGTGTGAAGTACAGATTCTAGCTGCGAGATATTTATCTATCTGGCCTTAATTCCCTTCAAAGAGAGGGCATTCTACAGCGGATCAGAAAAACTCGTCAACAGGGTAGGTAACCGAAAAACCACCTTAGATAATAAGCACAGAGGATAGAGGAGACATTTTGTGACTGGAAAGGCAGATTGAGATGTAAATTTTAACTGTCTTGCTTCCATAGAATTTAGTAATTAACTTGTCTTTGTCGACCTGAGGCCTGATACTGTTAAGATATTGGTTCTTGAGCTCTTTTGGATGATTGGCATCTACCGTGCGCAACTTTTACAACAGCACTGAATTCTGGATCCAAGGGTGGGTGAAGGAGGTATAAATTCCACCATACGCGTCGGCAAGTACGAATTAGAAAATTCGTCTCTTAACATATACACAGGGATGAAATTTCCTCCAAATTAAACATTAATCTGTGAACCATTACCTAAACCTCGGAAGTATCACATAACGCAAGATATACTGAGCCTGAGAGAATCTAATAGTTATCGCACATGTTGGCTGTTATTCTCAAGGATGAGATGGATAGTATTATTTGCTGAAATGTCTTGGAATATCATAATAATAATGTAATGCGTTTATCAACAAAGCCACCAGCATCGAACGCACGATAGGAACAAGGTGATCGCGAGTCCAGATTCCATTGGGTATTGTCCTTTTAGTTCACAACCAATCATTATGTCGAGTGCTGACTGTATCAGGCCTCGAATGAATATTCTGTTAGGTGAGTGGAGAACATAAACGTTTCTTAACGTTAATACTGCTTATAGAGCATGAGTATGAACTGAAGCTAGGGCTCATGCGGAAGGAACTTTACTATCTTCATACAAATGAGATTACACTAGTCAAAATCAAGTCGTGCATCTTATTGAAATGAAGCAGTAGGATTGCTTACTCAGATGCTCAGATATCGGAAACTTATGTGATTCTGCAAGGTCGTAAGCGGATACATCGCGGAAACATTGGACATGGCTGTATATCAGAAGCTTTACTGCCTATGGTGTATGTCCATGAATCTCTTGAACATAGAAACATATTCATTCCAGAACCCATTACTACTGCCATCAGTCACATCATGAATGCCCCAGAGTCCGACCGAACCTTCTCGCCCAAGCAGGCCTTGAAGCCTACACCAGAACTCTATAGTGAGATCGTCGGTGATGGCATGGAACGACTCGCTGCTGCTTCTCTATCCTGTATTGGGTCATTCGATGATTCCGAAGTCATCTTTCACGATGTTGGTTGCGGCCTCGGAGCCGGTACCGAAGCTATCACGAGTTTGAAACAAGACAATATTGTCATCAAAGGCACCGACATTAACGACGATGTTTTGGAAATATACCGACAGAACATAGCTAAAAGCCAGTGGCCTGCCGAGGCTCTGAAAATGGACGCGTCGAACCTTGAATTCCCTGACGAGACGTTCACTCACTGTATTGGCAATGCGATGTTGTTTGTTCTCCCAAATGACGGCGTCGATGCGATCAAGGAGATGCACCGAACCTTGAAGCAAGGCGGCACTGCCATTCTCAACTCATGGGCCCATACACCAACTATTCCTGCGATTCATGCAGCAGCCAAGAAGACTCGACCGGCTGGTACGCCTCTGCCACGAGAAGGGCTGGATAAATGGGAAGACAAAGACTTTCTACAGGACACAATCATCAAAGGAGGTTTTGAACCAGAGAAAGTGGACTTCATCCAGAAGGATGTTCATGTTACTATCGGCGATCTTAAGCGTTTTGCGACAATGATCTGGAGCTTTATCGGTGGTACTTCAAAGGCGGGATGGCTTGAGTCGGATGAGGAGAACTGGGATACAGCAATTGATGCAGTCGTGGAGGCGCTGACTCAGACGGAAGGGTATGAGAAGCTTGAGGATGGCAAGAACAAGATCATGTTCCAGGCCCATGTTGCCGTTGCTACCAAGTAGATCATACAGAGCCAAGATTTCACTGCCGGATAAATTTCTGACCAGGCAAGAAATAACAGCAATTAGTCACATCATTCAGTTGCATGAAAAGACACTTTTTTGAATGGCTTATATCTCAATATATCGTTACCTAGTTCTCCCTATTCGCAAAAGCGCCGGTATCCCTTCTGACGTCCTCCTTTCCTTGTGTTCCTCCTCGTCCACCAGGTTTTCCAGTTACAGACTGAGGAATATCATGACCCGTCGCACTGATTACTTCACCAACACCAGACTCTCGACCTTCGGAAGCTGAAAGGACAGCATTGTCTGCTGCGCCAGCCAGATCGGTTGAGCCAAGACCGCCTGCGGCCTCACCGTCGCGTTGATGAGGGTTGGGGACGGAACTGATAGTGTTTTGCTTTCCGGCGTCACCAGGGACTAAAAGCAGTACTTTAGCACTTTAGTAAATCTCGAGGGAGCCGCAAATGACTAACTGGATGTTCCATCCTTGGCCATATCGAAGAGATCTCCGCCTTGCTTGGAATCAGACATCTTGTAATTTGTGCTTGATGTTTGGAGTTGAGGATATAGTCTTTGTAGGTATTGAGGAGTAGTAGTATAAAATGAGAAGGAAGCTTGGAAAATAAAGACGAGAAACAATATTTATGGTAGTGATGCTATCAAGGTCCTTTCATGATGTCATGACCTCACTCTGAGCACATTCATCAATCTCATCGTAGTGACGTCAAACATCTTCATCACTGACGCATCGATATTATGGAGTCGACTTGAATAATGGTCTAAAGGCTTAAACTCGGTATCCGATTGAATGCTATGCTAGATCCGAGGGTGTTGAGGACCACGATGTGCCTTGCTTTGCCGTGCTCATAAATCTGGTTCAATTTGAGTCTTACGCAGCTGACCGAGCGAGGAGCTTCTCAAGCTCAATTTTCCAAAGAACAGCCATGATGTAGCTATCATGTCCAGTAGTCTCATTGCTTGCAGGAATAGTGACTGCTCGGCCATATCCAGGCGTCATGTCGTTAGCGACACCATCCTCCAAGAATCCGAGTTCGATTGGGTTCAGCAAGTCATCGGCGGTATTGACAGCAGTCAAAGGAACCCTGATATTCTTAAGACCGACCTTTGGATTGTACGTCTGTGATGCGTTCCAAGCATAGAGCTGATCATTGGCATCGTACCCTTCCAGGTGAGGAATGATGTGCTCGTCAACGTAGTTATTGACGGCCTCACGGGTTGGGAATGCTCGCTGCCAGTATGAAGGCGACGAGAGAAGAACAAGTTGAATCATGAGTGCACCTCCAAGGCCAGCAGCTGGCTGCTTCTCATAATCGCCACCTTTCCATGCTGGATCAATGGTGATAAGCTCAGTGATGAACTTCCGAAACAGCCGATTATGGCCAGCTATCTCAACTGGGAAGGAAGCAATAGGCATCAAGGCATCCGAAAAGCCTGGATATTCTCCGCCCATCATCCAAGTGTGCATACCGCCCATCGAAACACCAAGCGTCAGACGGGTCCGGTTAAGTTTGAAGTGCTCAGTCAAAAGGAAGTGGTCCGCACGAATCATGTCAGGATACTGATACTTCGGAAACGAGGCGCGAAGGCCAGTGTTGCTAGGCTTACTTGAGTTCCCGTGACCGATGGCATCGCGCATGATGATGAAGTACTCGTTGGCGTCGAGAGGCTGGCCTGGGTTGAAAAGGGCACCAGCGAACTCTTCCACGAGAAACTGGGCGCTAGAACCAGTAGTTCCATGGAGGAGAACAACGGCGTTGTTGGATCCATCGGAATTGACTTTTAGCTCACCGAGGGTCTGGTAGCTGATGTTCAGGGAGTCGATGATCTCGCCAGAGTCAAAGGTGAAGTCCTCGATGTTGAAGCTTCCACTGGAAGGCTTTGGCCATAATGCCTTAGCGCAAATGAGGGGCGATAAGAGTGCCAGAGAGAGGATTGCTTTGGTCCAAGATTTCATGGTCGCGGTGGCAGTGGAAAGATGTAAGGATACGAGATATGGCTGTTGGGATTGGAAGCTTGAGTGCTGCTGATGAGATGAGGATTGGAGAGATGATTCTAATTACGAGGACTTGATATAGTTTATATACTCAACATCATAGGTCTTATAGATTGAAGTTGGCATTCATTCTGCGCATGATAATGATCGAGCCTTAAGCGAAAGCGATGTCCGAATCAGGGCCAAGAAAGAAATATACACCTAGAGAACCGCCGCCAGTATTAAATAAAATGTCTATGAGGAGGCGTACGTGAGTGGGTAGAAGTGAGAATAGACTCAAGGCCTCGCACGTGAAGACAGCCGCGAAAGATCAAGTGACCCGAATGCGAACTTGCAATCGAATATGAGACCTTAAACTTGTGGTCCTTAGTCTCCTGTCCACTAAATGCATTAAGAATGCTTTGCCAACTCCATAGGACCAGGAAATGAATGCGAAGTCCGTAGGTAATCATGATGGCTGAGCAGGCTGACGTCGTGAGATCATGTGATGTAAGCACCAAAAGATCTGCTGCTCCTGCGACTCTAAGCAGAGGGCGCTTTTCACTCAGAATGTGTTTGTCACACGAAGTAAGGTTATGAAAGTCTTGTTCTATCTCTGCCTTGTCGTTTTTGCAAGTGCAATGTTGAACTAGTACTGAGCCCGTCGACCCTAGATGCTTTCTTCGTCCAGACAACGATCCGTCGTCAATATCTACATGATTTGCAAAAGTAGAAGGTCAAGCGAGGGTTCTTCTAAGAAGGGAGGGTTGAGATAATCTAGAACTGCTTCGTTACAGAGCTTATAAAGTTATCAAACGTCAAGATCAAGATCCAAATGGCGTATGAACTGAAGTGAACTGAGTCAAAGTACGCGGATCAGAGCAAGTGACTTCATTATTGGATTTACAATATTATCTATTTTTAAATGTGATGAAATCGACCCAGATGCGCGCGGTTTGGATGCATAAGGCTGTGTAAAGCTGATGACAGGGCAGATCCACCATCGCGTCTAGATATGCTGACGGGCAAGATGACTCATTTTCAGCATGACTCATCACATAATGCCCTATAAAGTCCTCCAATGTTGGGGACTTCCAGCATATACAACTCGATACGAAAATCAATACGACTTAGTGCCAGTGTTGTTAGCAGAAAAGCCGTCACGATGTGTATGCACGACCATCAAGAAGGCGCGGCATCAGAGCCGTCGCCGGACCACGCAGAGCCATTTCCTTGGCATGTTGGAGTTTTTGACGCTCACAATCACATTGGCGAACGAGTAAACTCCGTATCCGAATTGCTGAGCATGAAATCTCGGGCAGTAGCAATTATGGCAACGCGAACTCAAGACCAGCCTCTGATTGCCTCAATCGCCAAATCTCACGGCGTCAAAGGCCCGGGCTGCTTGTCCCAAGACAAAACGACCGTTATCGCAGGCTATGGAAGGCATCCATGGTTCTGTCATGAACTATTTGATGACTCGTTAGAGACTCCGACATACGTACCGTCCGATGACATCGAGGATGCGAAGGCGCAACACTACAAGGCTGTCCTTTCACCAGGTCCAACAGATCCAGCCTTCTGGGGCGATCTCCCAATGCCGATAGCACTCTCTACTTTTATCGCTGAGACTCGAGCTCGATTGATCGAAGACCCATGCGCCATGGTTGGAGAGATTGGTCTTGATAAACCCTTCCGACTGCCTATGCAGTGGACGGATCCCAAGCCAGACCCAGATCCAGACCGTACACCAGGAGGTCGTCAGAGGAGACCACTCAGTCAGCATCGCATCAACCTTACTCATCAAAAAGCTGTGTTCATGGCGCATCTCAAACTAGCAGGGGAGCTTGGAAGACCCGCTAGTGTTCATGGCGTGCAAGTCCATGGGATTCTTTACGATGCTTTGACCGAGTGTTGGAAGGGTCATGAACTTCGCGGTCGGCGCTCAAGAGACAAAGAGAAGAAAGAGGGAAAGGCTGAACAGCAGCCAGGAGACGCTCCAAAACCATACCCTCCACGAATCTGTCTTCACTCCTTCAGTGGTAAATCCGACGCTGTCAAACAATATCTCAAACCATCCATCCCAGCCAAGATCTTCTTCTCATTCTCGAAGACCAATAATTTGCGATCAGATGAAGAGAGGAAAAAGGCGGAAGATGCGATCAACATAGTGCCGGATAATCGGGTACTGGTTGAGAGTGATCTCCATACGGCTGGTGAGAGGATGGATAATGAGCTTGAGGAGATGTACCGCGTGATTTGCGAAGTTAAGGGATGGGGGTTAGACGAGGGCATCGGGAAAATAGCTGATAACTACCGGGAGTTCGTTTTCGGTTGATATACGGTTGCCCTAGACATTACACATCCGCAAAAACAAGGCCTGCAATCTTATACAAACACCAGGAATGAATCATTGTATGGGGAAATGTCGATTGAGAATTATGAAAGTTCTTAGAGTCCAGCTTGACCTGCAAGTCCTGCCAGGAAGGTCTATGCCATCGAATCGACGACGCACCAGTACCGAAGAAATGAAACGAAAAAATGTACACACGACACATTTCTAGCCTTACTTCTCGACTTCCACCGTCTGGCTTTTCTTCTCCTGGTTCAGGTATGTGCCCAAAACTTCAATGAGAAATCGCTCTCGGTGCAACAAGTGTCTTGGTCCTTGCTTCTTCAAGAATTGCAATGCTGCAGCAAGAATGAGAGGATGATGTTCTTCTGATACATCCAGAATGCTAGCAACACTGACTTGCACTCGAAGCTCCTGCGCCTTGACGAATAAGTGACCAATCTTCTTGTTGGAAACTAATCGCAGACTGAACTGTTCAAAGAGGTCATGCTTGACAAACAACTCTAAGACATCCTGCAGAGTATCCTCTTCTCCAAAGATCTGATCAAGACTGACGCCAGCGCCGTCTTGAATGGTATGTCGCAGTTGAGAAGTCGACTCGAGCGCCTCAGTGATATTATCAACGGTCAGCGGCGGTATCGCAGATATGCAAGGTCGATCATATCCCACTCTGTGTCGCCACCAAACGTTGCAAAAGATCGAAGTGACAATGACGGGAATGAGAATACAATAACCCCACCATCTCTCAGCCGTAATCATTGAACCAACTCCTCCGAGAACATTCGCGATGCCGTTGAGGATGAAGAAGAGCTGAACGTTGAAACATCTCTGCTTCAACAACGGAAGTGATGGTGAGCCTTGAAGTTCTTTCTTAGCCACTGCGACGTGCGATCGCATCTTGGAGACAACCATGGAAGCCCAAATCGCACTAATGAGACCGAATAGCGCGATGGGAGCGTTGCCGAGGTATCCGGACAGGATGTTACTCGCATGCCAAACCTTTCTGTTCGCGCCGCCAATAGCCATGTATGTACCAATGCTGATCAACATCGCGCCCCCTCCCATCAACAAGTCCATCGCCCACCGATTAATTATTTCAATTCGTAGTTCCCTCGTCGTAATCTCGATAAAAATATCGAGGCCCCTCGATTCAGCCCCAGCAGGGAGATTCTCCTTCTCCGTCTCGAGGTATTGTTTCTGCTGTCTCAAGAACTTGATGTTTCTCCATGCCTTTCTCGAATCGAAGAATGCGCAGATTGAGAGGACGAAGGCAGCAGTTCCGCCGATGGCCATGAAGACGATGGCGTAGATGGGTACAGGGACATCGTTCCATACGTTGGCGGCAAAGTCGCCTGCGTTTGCGAGTTCGAGAAAACCGACGGCGGCGAAGAGATTGTTTCGGAGACGGTTGTCGTCGATACAAGACCATTGCGAGCGCTTCTTTGCGAGGGTGACCGAATCAGGGCCGGGGACGGGGAGCTCGGTCGGGGGAAGATCGTGAGGCATGGCGGATGCCGCTGGAGCGGCGTCGCACTCCTTCATCATGATCGGGGCATCCATGACGAGAGATATAGGGAGGACTCTTCATCTGTCAACAATGTTTACATAATGAAGTGCGTGAGAACTTACGAAAAAAGCTTGATAAGCCGGGTTATATACAAAGATATCACATGGGAAAGCCAAGAAAACAAAAGCACCAAGTACAGATCATTACACCGGTGAGTCACTGCAAACTTCTCCCTCGGCAGGAAACAAGAGATATTAAAAGGAAGAAAAAAGGAAGAAAGTGGCTTCTTAATTTAGGAGACGTTACGTACGTAGAGTGACAGATGCTCGGACGTTCCGACCGCTTCGTCGTTGCCGGGCTCCACTTTGAGGGCCGTTGCAGCCGAAGCTTGGGGTATCCACGATTCGATCATCCCGCGAGGCGCAGCACCCTGTTCACTGAAGGATAGCCCTACAACGACATGCACAGGTCGATGAGGTCTATAAAAGATAGGATGCTGATAGAATACCAGTTATTGGGCTTGTTGAGATATCGTTAAAAAGGCAGAATGAGTGAAGAAACAGAGCATCACACAGGAAATCATCACTTGGCACAGTGGAGATCACGGCATTTCCAAGCCGAAGGCCACGCAAGCCTTGGCGAATTTCCTTCACAGCAAGGCTCGCAAATCGCTCTCGTCTCCAAGGGGAAAGGCACTTTCTCCAACAGGAATAGGACACCCTCAATTGGTCACGGATGATACCGTAGGGCCGAACGCCCTGTGAGCACTAAATATAGCAGAACCTTGTACGGCGCCACCAATTGAAACGTTGCACCCTCACTAATAAGCATCTTGGCGTCTAGAATACTTCGGCCCCTCGACCACTTTCACAGGCTTTCGACCGGTTTGAACAGCAACACCAGCCGTTAAGCTCAACCCATCGACGTTAGCGCTCTTCTCTAACGCCCAGAGCGCGATACCGATCCAGTTATCACCCCTATAGTTTAAGATTCCTTCAGGGACAGGGAAGACTGTCTGGGGTCCCACGTTGGCGACGTATTTTCCGTATTGGAAACCGTTTACGTAGAGTATAGCGCGGTACGCACCTGTGCTGGAGGTGTTGTTCTTGAAGGTGAATGATAGAGGAATGTCGTGTGTTGAAGAGGGGAGGTTGAGGGGAAGTTTGGCTGCGTAGAATGAAACGCCGGGCTTGGAAAGCCCTTTGAAGGGGGATCCGGATTTGAAGGAGGTTAGCGGAGGGGATGGGAGATGATAGCCTTGGCGCTCGAAGAAAAAGCCGCCTTCGTTGAGGGGACCGCGGAATTTGTCCTTGTAATTCTCGCCGCCGAGATTGCCGGTCAATTTCCACTTTGACACCTTGGTCTCTTTGCCAGAGTCTGAGGTGATGTGCCAGTCGAGAATTCCGCGAGGTTGCTTTGTCTCATCGACGCCGGGGACCCAGTTTCCGTTCAGGCCCATGTTGTCTACGATGACTGTGACGACGTGCTTCTTACCCTTTTCGGTCTTGGGAAGTTTGTATGTTGACGTGTCATTGTTGTTGTTGCCCCCGCCTGTGACGGACCCGACGAACTTGTCATCGAGCCAGACTGAGCTTCCATAAGCGCGTCCGCCAAACGTCCACAGTTTGAGCTTGGACTCTGACCCAGAAGCCGTAAAGTGACCGCGGAAGATGAGTGCACCAGCGTTAAAGCCATAGTCACCAGAGTACAGTGAGACGGAGTTGTTAAGAGGCCACTTCGAGTTGAGAGGCTTCTTGATATCCGCCGTGCGCCACTTGGAATCATCGTAGTCCTTCTTCACTTCAGGAAGGCCGTCGATGTAGTGCCAATCCAATGACTTGACATCAGGGACTTTGACGGTGGGAAGCTTGATCTCTGGGTTGACCAGCCAGTTTCCAAGCTTAGACTTGGTGAAGGAAGTGTCCTTGCCATTGATAGACAGACGAGATGTTCCTTTTGGTGCGCCGACGATTTCAACTGGTGTGGTGATGTTGAAGTCAGCTTGAACAGAAAGCTTGGAGCCTTCAACAGCAACAGAACGGACGAGGTATGGGCCGTTGATGATGACGGCGTCGGGGTTCATCACGGAAGATCCATACTCTCCACTCTTTTTGCTTGGGATAGTAGGTACCCAGTACTTGTACGCAGCATTGCGATCTAAACCTGTCAGCTAAGCCATCTAAGAGACGTGCGAAGACTTACCCAAGAGGTAGATGTAAAGAGATCCAGCCTGCACAACACGACGCTTGGTGCTAGTCTTGAACTGAATCACCCCAGCTCCGTTCTTCTTCTCAATCTTCACACCATCGCCCTCAACAACTTTAACCTTCTCCTGTCCCTTAACAGCAACTTCATGAACTTCATCAGCACCCCCATAAAGCACAAGAACAGTCTTATCCCCAAGCACCTTCCACGTAAAAACCTCAGCAGTGCTATACAATAACTTAAACTTGCCAACGGGGTAATCCACAACATGGATCTTCGAATCTCGTCTATGCAGCGACAAAGATCCGCCAAGTTGAGGGATGGTTAAAGTTCCAGTGGAGGTCTTGACTTTGAGCTTATAAGATGCTGAATCAGTGGTTCGGTAATCAGCGTGGCGTACGACGTAGAATGCATCATCTTTCTTTGTGGTTAGAGCTGTTACAGCGATGTTCTTGTTGTCAGTGTATTTTGTGGTTGTGAAGTTGCTTGCTTCTGTGATGGCGTAGTTTGGTGAGACGCGGAGGAATTGGCCTTGGAGCTTTATTTCGGAGTATTTCTCGCGGGTGATTGTTCGGTCTTCCTTGATAGCCTACAGAAGTGTCAGTAAATTTTCCATGCATTGTTTCGTGGCCAATTACTCACTGCTCCATAGTCGTAAGAAGTGTAGCCATCGGAATGGCCAAGATTACCCCAGTTCGTGCCGCCCCAAGTCTATGCCGTTAGCCATATCCACTGCATACTGAACAAACATAGATAGTACATACCATGTAGATATTAAAGATAGTAACACCAGCAGCAAGGTTGTTCTTGTAGAAGATGCGAGCGAACTCGTGGTTGGTGAGCTCATAGCAGTTGTCAAAGCCGCCGCCACCTGGTGGATCGAAACCTCCACCTTGGAACTACAAACTGTCAGTCGCCATCTATCCCAGGGGCTATACATACTCACTTCAATGATTGAGTACGGCGTGTTAGGGCTGATCTTCTCATGCTCGGCATGCCATGTCGTTGGAAGGCCATCCTTCGGCCATGTGTAGGGGTTTGCCTGTAATTGGTCAGCACCATCGACGTATCCGCGCTGACAGACCTACGCAGTCAAATCCAACAGGATATCCGTCATGGCCCTAAAAAGGTTAGTCAAGACTTTTCTCAGTCGATAAAAGAACTTACGTAAATGTCGACAGCGCCAGGTCCCGTTCCAGGAGCTCCAGTACCTCCTTGCCACGCATCATTGTTGATAAGAGGGACAACAACTCCAGCCTTGCGAACTTGGTCATTGACGTATTTCAAGTAATCATGGTTTGGGAAGGGCGTTCCCTGCGCAGCACTGTACTCGTTCTCCGGTTGGTACAGAATGACTGGTCCACCGTTGGTGATTTGAGCTTTTGCGATGATCTTGG